GCTCACATAGGTACTGAGGCCCTCAAACCCGGGAATGTTGCCCACTATTTTTTTTTTAAATGGCGTCTGTTTACAAGAGCCCTGATGAAGGTGAGGTGAACCCCATGTATCCGCGGGCTGTTTAAATTTTGCGTAGTACTCCAATGCGTCATATGACATGATGCACACTTTTGGGCGAGTTACTCAACACATCATATGGCATGTTGTGCAGTTTGAGTTAAATACTGTAATGGTAATATTTCATCACAGAAATAATAACACAGGATAAAAATCGTACTGTAATTTACCTGATTTTCCTGAGGGTGACTAACCCTAGTGGCTTCGACGAGGACAGGATGCCGATGGGTTGTCAAAGGTCCCCCCATTTGCCTTGATCTTTTCCAGGTATATTATTAAATTCAGCACAGTTTCGGCAGTTACAGCTTCAGCGGGTAGGCGGTTCCATGGGTTAATAACCCCGTGGGTGAAAAAGCATTTCCTGCTCTCAGTCCTACATTGTGGTTTGTTGAGCTTGAAACTGTTGCTTCTTGTTTGTATTACATCTGACCGTCTGAAGAAAATATCCACATCAACATCCTCTGACTTGTTCAGTATTTTAAAAGTTTAAATGAGATCTGTCCTGTCATGCCTGGTTTACAGTGTTGTTAGCCCTGTGGCCTTCAAGCGTTCCTGGTACGAGAAGTGACTTTGCTCTGGAATGACTTTTTTGCCCGGTGTTGCACCTTCTCCAGAGCAGCTGTGTCCTTCTAAAAAAAGGAGGTCTCCATGCTTGGATACAGTAATCTAAGTGAGTTATTAAATTGAACCATTACCTTCTTTTCCTTAGTCAAAAGCATGCTTGATTATCCCAAGAGTTTGATTAGCTTTTCTGACTGCTGCACCCACCTGTTGTGCAACTTTTAATGAGTGGTGAATCTTGACTCCAAGGTCCCTTTCATCATCAATTTGCTGTAATGTAATGCTATTAATTTGGTAGTCGTGGCTTGGGTTGTTATTCCTCACATGCAAGGTCTCACATTTGTCAATATTAAAAAGCATTTGCCAGTCATGTGACCATTTGTGGAGTTCATGTAGATCTCTCTGTAAGACTTCAATATGTTATCATTTCCCACTTTACCATAAATCTTTGTGTCGTCTGCAAATTTGATGATGTGGTTTGTAATATTCTTGTCATTGATGTACAGTATATGACAAAGAGTAGAGCCCAAAATGGACCATACAAGGAGAGTGGGGAGTCATGGCAGCTCGAGCATGGTGTGTGCTTAAGACAATGAGGGCCAGTGTTGGAGCTGCATCCCTAAATATGTGATGCTGAACCCCTCTCCAAGATAAAGAGGCATACAGGGTGATCTAAGTAAATTACAAGGGCTCCAGTGTCCATTGCTGGTCGACCGACGGTAGCGGGAGTGTGGCTGCTGAGGTCGGTTGTTTGTTCTGTCAGGGAGTGGTTGGGGACACTGTCCGCCGGTACGCAAATAACAGTCTGGTGCAACAACCACAGCTCTCTTTTGGAGGTTTAAGTCCCAAAATCCCGAGCTCTCTTTTGGAGGTTTAAGTCCCAAAATCCCCAATCCCCTCAGGGCAGAACACTACGTACAAAATAGTAACAGGAATCGATAAAATTGATAAGGAAGATTTCCTGAGACCTGAAACTTCAAGAACAAGAGGTCATAGATTTAAACTAAACAAATACTGTATGCTGAAGAAATAAAATAAAAATTCACTTTTGCAAACAGAGTGGTAGAAGATTGGAACAAGTTAGGTGAGAAGATGGTGGAGGCCAAAACTGTCAGTAATTTCAAAGCGTTATATGACAAAGTGCTGGGGAGACGGGACACCACGAGCTTAGCTCTCATCTTGTAACTATACTTAGGTAATTACCTGTTTATTTGCAGTTGAAAGGCGGAACCAAAGCGCCAAACCCCAACCCCCGCAAGCACACTTCGGCAAGTACCAGCATTAAGGAAATTGTCTCTGCATCACCACCACTGCTACCCTCCTCCCCCTCTTTCACTTCTCACTCTTCCCTCGCATCTGCAGTTTAATTGTAGTTTATGTTGGGGAAAACCCATCTGGGATGACTTTCTTGATCACCCTCATACATTTAAACCATGTATAATTTTCAGTCATTTTCTGGACTAGAATAATTTTGCTGGTGGCCTTAGAACACTGAGCTAAAGTCTCCCACTTTACCTTGTATGCCATCCTTCTAATTCCTTTCTCACTGTTCCTTGCTTATAAACTCCCATAAGGCACCATACTTGATTGAGTGGATGTACCGTCTCCACTCGATTATCCGGACTATGTGGGAAGGACCCCAGCCGGATAATCACGTTTTCCAGATAAGAGTACTTTTTCACCCGAGTCCAAAAGTGACCATTTCCAACTATTTTTATACCACAAACAACATAATTTTAAATTGCCTTGCCACATATAATTGTTAAATATTCAACTAGAAACCTCGACTTACCTTGTTGTTCGTCTTCTTGATTGATGCCACACATCTTGAAGTTAAGAATTCTTGACAATTTACGTAACTTATACTAACACAACACTAAAATTAACACTTAAAATTACTGTACAGTTCATTAAGCAAAGTTAGTTTTGACTGCCAGCTGCTGAAGCCTCACTGGTTGAAGGCATTTAGTTTGGCTGTGATGCCTCACTGGTTGAAGGCACTTGGGTTGCCTGTGACGCCTCACTGGTTGAAGGAGCTTGGGTTGCCTGTGACGCCTCACTGGTTGGAGGCGCTTGGGTTGCCTGTGAGGCCTCACTGGTTGAAGGCGCTTGGGTTGCCTGTGAGGCCTCACTGGTTGAAGGCGCTTGGCTTGATTTTCTTACCATATAAGAATCAAGTGTAGCTTGCCTTCTGTGTTCTCTGGCCAGTTGTATGATCAGCTCTTTGGTTTGCCTCAGGTACCGATACATGTTTCGAACTTCTGGATTAGCACTGTTGGATGAAAAGTTAATTAATCAGTCAACATAGGTCATAAGTAAACTGTATTTCGTGGTCAGTGGTGTTGGTTCTTCATCCTCCTCCTCTTTGTCGACCTCACCAATAACAGACTGGAGAATCTCGTCTTTACTCATCACACCATATCCTGGGTCATTGGCATCTCTTTCAAGCTAATCACATCCTGTTGTTCTAAGTTTTTGCCGGCATTTCTGAACATTCCATGGATTTCATCTGTAAATCCTTCAGAATTCATTTCTTCCTCCTCATTGCTGACCGTAGACGTGAGGAGTTTTTTCCAGGAATTCTTCAAAGTCGATTCCTTTACTTCACTCCACACCTTGGCTCAGTTATAGATGGCTTCCTTGATTGTATAGTTCTTCAAATTCTCAAGTTTTTTTTTTTTAGCCCTGTTATCCACACCGAGTTCCACATCTTCCGGAAGAGGAAAAATCACTAAAACATCGTTGAGCATCTTTTTGGTGTACAACCTCTTCGTGGCACAGATAACTCCCTGATCCATAGGCTGGATGCGAGAGGTTGTATTTGGAGGAAGTGCCATACACGTTATTATGCCATCATGTGAGGTTAACATGTCAATTCTGGGGTGAGCAGGCGCATTATCAAGCAAGAGCAAAGCCCAAACTTTGCTTGGCCTTACTTTGAGTTTCTTAACTTGATAGTCACGAACTTCCTTGCAGAACACGTCATGAAACCAGGAAAGAAAGATCTGTGTAAACCATGCATTTTGTGAGTTATAATATTTGACTGGCAGTCTGTCCATGCAATGTTGCAAGGCTCTTGGTTTCTTTGATTTGCCAACAATTGCACACGTGATTCTGTCTGTGCCGTCAGCATTTGCTCGCATCATGGCCGACAGCCTGTCCTTGTTAACCTTACTGCCTAGCACACAACCCCTCACTCCTCATAGCTAGAGTTTTTTCTGGTAAACTCCTCCAATGCAGTCCAGTTTCATCAGCATTATAAATTTGATAAGAATATAAATTATTTGACAAAATGTATGTTCTTAATTTATATTTAAATGGTTCTGCACTGCTTGTATCTGCACTCGGTTTTTCACTGACAGTTTTCTTCTTCACAGTATTGTGCCTCCCTTTGAACCTTGCAACCCACCCTTCGCTAGCCTGGAAAACCTTTATTCCAAGGCTTGTTGCAAACCTGCTTGCAGCATTAAATTGTATTTCTGGGCTGCGAATTGTCACGCCAGCTGTGCGGTGCTGAGCAAACCACTTGTATACAGCCTCATCCAACTGTACATGCATCGAAATTTTCAAAGTTTTTCTACCACACCTTCTGCTAGTGCTTGCACCTTCACTCTCACTGGTTGAAACGTATTTCAGATATTTCTCTTTGTTTCCTTATATCAGAAACAGTCTATACAGTATTAAATTCCTTTTCAACACTCGAAGTCGACTGGCCATTTTCACAAAGTTGTATAACACGAAACTTGTCTTTAATTGTTAGGACAACCTTCTTTCTCATAACACCTCCAGAACAATTGATGCTGCTACCAGACATAATCTTGGCCAAAAATGTTCAAAGTTATTATGAATATAAAAAAGTTATTTAAAAAAATATTTCACTAATGGCACGGCACTGTGGTATAACACGAGGGACGGGAACAGGTGGCTTGACCAGGCCTGGACAGGTCCACTTGGGGCTGCTATAGCACATTACGTAGGCCACCAGGAGGAAAAAAAGCTCACAGTATTTTTGAAGGAAACTTCAGCCTGTGCAAATTGTTTTTAGGAAACTTGTATACTGTATTTGCTATTACATAATTACTAGTATTTCTTTCGTTTTTGGCTATGATGAATTGTTCTAAAATTAATGTTAATTCCTGTACTGTAGTGTATAGGCCCCTCCACATGCCCCTTATTCCCCAGGTGGTCCCTTCCAACGCTCCCCACTCTCCCGACACCACCCACCTACCCCACCCCCTCCTACACCATGCGCCTTGAACCACAGCCATTCGGGATTAATACAGTACGGCCCGTTGCATGACTCTCGCATCCAGACAATTCACCGCTTGTCCGGCTGATTGTCCGGATAGTGTAACATCGGCAGCAAGTTAACTGGCCCAGATTTTTTTATCCGGCCAAACACCCGCTTTTCTAGCTCCATGGACATTTTGGCCGGATAGTGAGAGAACTTTATTTGGCCACGATTTTAGCCAGATAAGGGCGTTTTTCCGGATGGTCGGATCCCGGATAATCGTGTCTACAGCATTGATCTCTGGTTCGTAATATTGTTTCATATTCCAGATCCTCGTGTTGTTGCTAACTGCAGTGTATAGGCTGTGAACCATGTGTAATTTCTTTTTATTTATGAATGAGGGTCATTTTTTATATTAACATTAATAAATGAACATTGTATTGAATATACAGTATTGTAAGAGGAATGTATTTTAGCAATTATAAAATTTGATTTAACCCTTAAACTGCACAACACGTCATATGCAGGGTTGAGTAACTTGCAAAAAGTTGCGCATTGCGTCATATGACACAATGGAATACTACGCAAGATTTAAACGGTCCGCGGATACACGGGGTTCACCTCACCTTCATCAGGGCTCTTGTAAACAGACGCCATTTAAAAAAAAAAAATCGTGGGCCACATTCCCGGATGTGAGAGCCTCAGTGGTGAGTGAGCCACCAAGCCTGGTACACGTAACATGTGCTCACAGCACTGCTAACCAGCTTGTGACCACAGTATTGCCTAAAAATACCAAAATATATATGTACATGCTATTATTTAGCGATGATAGTATTACAGAAGAGCCCTGACTGTGATAAAAATGACCAGGATTCTGATAATAGCAGGATTGTTGTGATAATTAGCGCTGTCATGGGAGGAGTAATCTTAGTGGGGAGGGAGGTAGCATTGTCTGCTGACTGTGTGACCCCCTTTTACTGTCTGGACTCCTATACAGTACCAGCTTAGTTGTTCGTTATGGTGAACAAAATATGCAGATACTTATATATAATGTCTGTATACAGTGAATAAAAGTAAAAACAGTATGGTGTAAGGAGAATGGTGGCGAGTAAGGTGAGGTGAGGGAGGGAGCGAGTGACGGCCAGTGGCAGGCTGCCACTTCCTGCCACTGCCATTCGGCATACCAGCTTAGTGGTTCGTTACGGTGAACACAAATGTAGATACTTGTATATAATGTGTATATATAGTATAATAACAGCAAAAGGAGTGTGAGGGAGAAGCCATTTTGGTGAGGGAGGTGGTAACATCTGCATGATTTATCATGCTGGGTAGGGGTGACCACTATGCTCTTTGGGCACTATACCGGCTTAGTTGAACAGTTATGGTGAACAAAACATGTAAATACTTATATATAATGTGTGTATATAGGGTAATAACACCACAAACAGTATTGTTGGGGAGAAATTTTAGTACGTCTGCCCTTGAATGTGTGAGGGAGGCAGCCACCAGCTGACTGTGTGTAGCAACATCTCTTAGTGCTTGAACTAACTATATCAGCTTAGTTGTATAGTTGTGGTGAACAAAACGTGTAGATATTTATATATAATGTCTGTATATAGTGAATAAAAGCAAATTAACACTTTCGCGCTCTCGGCGCTCAAAAAAAAACAATACCCCAGATGCTTTCGGCACTTCGCGCGCCTACGCTGTAAGACCGAAAAAGTGTACACTCTTTTGACTGTCCTGACAATAATTGAAGGCGCACGTATTTAAATTTGGTATCACTGTGTTCGCAATGAAATTGTCTATAAGACCATACCTATAAAATGCCGCCCAAGCATAAGGAGTATCAACACCAAATAAAAAACTATGCAGATCACTCGCCGAGAGCGCCAAACAGCAACAAAATGTTTCCACTCTCTTAATGGTTGCGAAGCCTACAGTTGTCCTACATCGCTAATTTTGGTATCATTGGAATCGCAGTAAAATTATCTACACGGACATATGCATATGAATGTTTAATATAGGTAATTGCCCACCCGCAAGAGTGTGTGAAGTGGAGAGTAGTTAGCCGCGAGCGCACTGGCGAAAACACAGGGGGGGAAATCATGCTTGGAAAGTTCATACATTTATGTTTCCTGACCCTACTTTTCTATGTACGTATTTCTTTTTTATACCAATGTGTTCGCAATAACATTTTCTATAAGATGAAATGTATAACAATTGTACAAAGCATGTGTAAGAGAAGCGCCAAATATAGAACCACGTCGCTCAGTATGCGTTCGCGGCAGAAACGAACACATTGTTTTCGTTCGTTTGATGTTTGTCATGTTTATACTTGTTGAAACATTTTATAATTTGTATGACAGTGATCGCAGTAAAATTCCCTACACAGACATATACATAGCACATACAAATATTTCCCACGTGTTGGATATATCAACGGCTAAAGGGAACCCACTACCACACGGCCGCCACACCCAGAGCCACACCCGCCACACCCCCAAACATACTTTGTTTTTTGTTTTTTTTTTACTCATAGAAGTTTGTGATATAATATTCATTCTGGTACCAAAAAATTCGCAAATAAATTATCTACAAAACGTATATAATATAACTTCTTATAGATTATAAAAAATTCCAAATAGGTGTACTTACCCTGTCTATGTTGATTGAAGATCAACAGTTGAGCATTTTTTCTTCACTCCACCATCTTCAGGCTTCTGATCCTGAAGTTGCTCATCTGATGTTTCTTAGGTGGAGTGAAGCTGTTGCCGGTGGTTATTTTTTCTCCACCCAAAATATCTTTCTTCGGTGGTACCTTGTGTAGCAAGGCGCAGCGCACAGTGCCACATCACAAGTTTTACATCCATATATCACGTCCCTCCTTTTGCCAGACTTGAAACAAACACGGCATCTTCTTTTTTCAGCCAAGTGCACGAGTTCATGCGTCAACTTGTAGTTGAGACGTTGTTCTGAATCTATAATTCTTCTATTTCTTGGATGCACTGGAGTAATAGTGATCTTCTTGGTCCATTTGTGGGTTTTTCTTGCAAACTCATAATATTTGACCATTTGATCAAAATGATCAACACCTTTCATGAACTTATTGTAATCCACTATGGCTTTTGGTTTGTTCATTTTCACAATTTCTACTCCAGTTCTCCTGTCACGTTTACGAACGCGTTTCCTGCGCTGTGCTAGAGTAGTGTCGGCATTGTGGATATTGGTGATGACAGAGACGGGGCGCTTGTCCTTCCAAACTATAACATGATTTCTATTTCCATGAAAACTCCATGAATGAAACTCCATGAAAACTATTACATGGAGAAAAATCTGAGAGTATCCCCATCCATTTCGGTTAGAAAATGGAATTTATAGAAATATTTTTTCGATGGACTACAAAAGTAGGCTGTTATGCGGAATCGTAAGAAAAAACGGCAACGAGTCATCTCTAATCTAAAGCGCGAAAGTGTTAAAAAGTAAATTTTATATCTAATTCACCCAAATCTTCAGTATTAACGTATGTACAAGTTATTATTTGCCTTTACTGATGACTTGTTGGCGTATGGAAGACGGTGAGGAGGGGGAGGGGGAGAGGTGTTAGTGTTTGTAAGGGGAGTCCCCTTCCATTATAACATTATTCAGTGATGACTTTTCTGGGGTACTCTCTCTGGCATGTTTTGTCTGCATACCATTAGGACCTGCATGTGGCTCACTGCTTGATTTTCTCACTAAAAAGCGATCCATAGAGGATTGTTTTTCACCTTGTTGTAAAACTTGTCTATAGTGAGGCATCACATTGTCATTAACACTTTCGCGCTCCGTAGAAACTCGCGGTTGACTGGGGGATCGTGGCCCCTCCGTGCGGGTAAGCGCGCGGTGACACCCAAATGTGTATACTCATTCCAGTTTTCTCACCTTAATTCTCGCGCTACGTCGCTCGTTTTGGTATCATTGTGTTCGCAATTAAATTCTCTACAGCTGTGTATAAATATAATGTCCAAAAGCCTAGCGTGACTCCCAACAGCAAAGCGTAAAGTCGGCAAAAACGCACAAAATCAGTAACATGTGCATTCTCCTTCCATTTTTTTACCTTAATTCTCGTGCTACGTCGCTCGTTTTGGTATCATTGTGTTCGCAATTAAATTCCCTACAGATGTGTAAGAATAAAATGTACAAAAGGCTGGAGTGCCTCCCCGCAGAAAAGCCTAAAGTTACCCGTGAACGAGCACCATTTTGTACATTGCAACCTAATGTTCAACTCGTTCAATTTGATAACATCAAATTTCGTGCTAGGTCGCTCATTTTGGTATCAAATTGTTCGCAATAAAAAGGCGAGTATTTTAAAACTAGTCCCAGAATAATAGAACAATAACTGGATTTTTAACAAATATTTTAATTCTGGACGCTCATCATCACAAATTTATTTATATCTTTCCAGTGTTCTGACATAAATATTTGTGTTACATCTTTCATTTTGGTATCAAATTGTTCGCAATAAAAAGGCGCACATTTTAAAACAAGTCCCAAGATAATAGGACAATAAATAGAATTTTAACAAATATTTTAATATTCAGACCATAGACCTATTTATAATATTTCAAGTGTTTGGACATCAAGTTTCATGTTATATCTTTGATTTTGGTATCAAATTGTGTGCAATCTAAAGGCGCTTATTTTAAAACCACTACCAGATTGATCTGATAAAATTTAAATTTTTAAAAAATATTGTAATGAGTGACTCAGTATTGCGTCGTTGGAACACATTCAGTAGAAAAATAAATGACGAATTATTCAGTCTGTGGAACGCGAAAGTGTTAAAAAGGTTAGGGCAACGGCCTACAACAGCTTGCTCTGGGCGAGTCGTTTCAACAAAAGTTTGCATTTCTTCCCTCAGCCTTCACCACTTCCTAATTGTTGAGGAAGGGACAATCTCTACTGCCTCCTCCTCCCCTGAAGACATTTCCTAAGCTACCTCTTGTTGTTGCTCATTGTGAAGGGCTAGGAGTTCTTCGGTGGTCAGTTCTTTGCCGTGTTCCTCCACCAACTCCTCCACATCAGCACCATCCAACTCCAAGCCCAATTTCTAGCCCAGAGAAACAATTTCCTCAACAATAGGCACTTCAGGTCCAGGCTCAAACCCCTCAGAGTCTAGTTCCGAAACACATTCAGGCCACAATTTTCTCCAGCCA